TCGGTCGTCGATCGATTGACTCTGGACTGAACAGAATTACAGATATTGTAATTTTTTATAGCCATCACCGCTTCTTCTTTTCTTGAAAACTCCATGCCTAAATATAACTCACCATTATTTATTGATGAGTAATATTCATAGTCACTGAGATGAGGTATATCCGTAAATTCTGGCCGTACATTGCACCATAATCAGCTTCATACATGTGTACAGGAGGGTCAGTTTGTGCCACATTTCCTGGAACTTCATCATCATCGGAGTTGAATTGCGGTGATTCTGGGTGAATGAATAGTCCAGTCTCAGCACCATCCGCACCAGGCTCACGAAGTGGTTCTTCTGGTGGAGATGATAGTTCCACCATGCTCTCCATATTTAGGTCGAAGAACCTACTACTTGCACGCATTCCCCTTGAACTGGAAGGCATATCAACATTGAGATCGAAAAAGCTCGCAGTTGAATGCCTCCCCCTGGAGCTTGAAGCCATCGTGTCAAATGGAAACTGCACAGATGGTTGCGTCGATGGCATCTCCATATGGTCAAAGAAATTTGCAGATGAATACCTTCCCCTTGAACTGGACGCGGTGTTTCCATACGGATTGTTCGTAGACCCACCTCGGTACATATCGTAAGGAGTTGCGGATGAATGTCTCCCCATTATGGCATTAAAATCATTACACATTACTATAGTCGGGCTGTCAACTTGATCAACTTGTTCAGCCAGCCTATAATGGGAGCTTAATGATTGACCCCGAACAGCACGCACTTGAACAAAATGTGCATACATCTCAATAGCGGCGTCTGAATAATTACTTTGAGCTTCAACCATCATTTGAACATCATCATTGTTCGAAAGTTCGAACACTGTATAAGTTAATGACAACAATGATGTTGGAAATTTGTACTGCAACGACGACATTCTTTTACTACTTCCAACATGAATCTTCCTCGAAATCTTCGTTATCAGCTCCTCAAGAGTTATGTTTCTCTTAAATGATATTTTAACACGCTCATTTGATACGAAAACAACGCCAGTTTCATCTTCTCGAATTTCACCATCATAATAAACAATAGCTGAAAGTCGCGCAATTCTTTGAGTTTAAAAGTGCAGCAATATTATATCTGCAAAAAAAAAATAACTGAAACAAACCTGATTAAATAAATTATATATGAACGAAAATATAACACAATAATTTTTTTACACATCAACGTAAATAATTTAAATAATATAATTTTATATTATTACCTGCACCTCAAAACTATTTTGACGTATGCTCCTGCTTTTCAATTTTACAAACACAAAAATTAATTGAAAATAATTAGTATAATATTTTTTTTAAATAATCATAATAAACAATAAGTATAATAAAAAAATTATAACAAAATTTATAACGAAAAATCGCACGAACTTCTAAATCAAATATGAGAAAATTACCATAATTATTACTCATTGACGGAATTGTTGTATTAATTTATAAGTTGAGAGGAGAGATGTGAGGAGATGTGAGAAACTTAACCAGGAGTGAAGGGTATTTATAACCATATAAGGCGCGATAGCTGCACCGCTCTATATGTAATTATTCAGATAAAAGGTATAGCACGGACCAGGGTCTGCGCTAAATATAATTCTGTCAGATACCCAGGAATAGCACTGAGCAGGGGCGGCGCTATACCCCTACGTGGCGTATAGCGCGGATCAGGGGACGCGCTATACCCACGTGTAAGCCATGTCAGCATATAGCGCGGTACAGGGGGCGCGCTATACCCCACGTGGCGCCAAATCAGCATATAACGCGGGGCAGGGAGCGCACTTTATTGATACGGGTGTTAGATCGGAAAATATAATCTGACCGGTGTTAGATCGGTAAATATACCGGTCACCAGTGATTTTTCAGGAAAAACGCCTTAAATATTGATAAGGGAATGACATAGTTGATGGGAACATCTTATTTGACTCATCAAGTATAATTCAAAATTTAGTTTGAAATATTTTTTTAAATATTTTAAATAATAATTCCAAATATATAATTCATTTTTAAAAAAATATATTAAAATAATTTATTTTTAAAAATAAATAATATTTTTAAAAATATTTTATAACTATTGATTCATTTAACTATTATTGTATTTGTAAAATTAAAAATTATTATGATAAAAAATTAATATTTATAATATGATATTAAAAAACATATTTAATTTAATCATATCTCTTTTGTTTTCAATTGATCGAGCCTAATAAAAGTATTTCAATTAAAATCATCACCAAAATATAATTTTAATTACGATTGAAGAGTTAAATGAGACCTTTCTCATTAATTTAACGTGACACGTTACCTCAAAAAATATTCTAATATTGTGTTTGAAAAAAAAATCCCCAAGTAATTCACCTCACCGATTATTTTCTAGACTAGGATGTTTGCTATAGTAAATTTAGAAAACACATAGTTGGTGTTTGGTTCGTTGGAAATTGAATTGGAATACAATTTTATATTTTGTTTGGTTCGCAGACATATGAGATGAATTTGATTTCAGTAATGTAAAATGACAGAATTGCTTTTTTTTTGCTTAATTTTAGTTTGTTTTATAACTTACATGTAGCAATATATTATAAAAATTTAAAAAATATTAAATTTTCATTTTATTGATTAATTGTTCATTTCAATAAATTATAAAAATCATACTAATAAACATCATAAGTTAAAATCATCCCAATTAGGGAGGTCATGGGTTGGATTGGGTCGGGTTTTTGGTCCACCCGACCCAACCTAAGAACAAGGGAACCTCCACTCGAGACCCGACCCGACCCGACCTGACCAAAATAAAGTTTCACCCGACCCGACCAGAATATATGAATTAGAAACCCGACCCGACCCGACCCGAAATAATAAAAAATATTTTTATTCAATAAAAACAATGACTTAATTGAAAAAAATTATATATAGAGGGGTATTATTGTAATTATTCATAAATATATAAGGTAAAATTATATATTTTTTCGGGTCGGGTCCGGTATTTTTCACCCTAAACCCGACCCCGACCCGAACCCGAAATTTTTTAAAAAAATTCGACCCGATCCCGATTTTTTTTAAAAAAAATCCGACCCGAATACCAAAAGATTGATGAGGGTAGTATAGTCAAATTTCACATTCCCTCCTCCAAAGGATTTCAATTCCATCATATTATGGATGTAATTTACTTTCCCTCCCTTGATAGAATTTGATTCCAATTCCCCCTTTGAAAACTTGAACCAAACATGGGAAAGTGGTGAAATTGGATTCCAATTCCCCCTAATTCCAAGGGATTCCAACGAACCAAACGCCACCATAGTGTTCTATTGTGACTTGGAGAATACTCCAAGATTATTGTACGTCTTTCCTATCACCGATCATTTTTGTTTGATCTATAAAACTGAAGACGCATGGTAATCCATGCATATTCCACCTAAGAAATGAAGTTGCATGATGTTTTCAGTATCTTTCCTTTGACATTATAATAATGACCCTAGTTCAGAAAATAATATGGTGGGCACCTTATATGAGAAATTTTTTTCCTACTACTTTATCTGGGTGAGGAAGCCATCACCTCTTTAATGACAGTTAAAGACGCTGTGTCTATTTTATAAAAAAATTAAAGTTTAATGTCAATTATGTATCTTTTAAAAGTTTAATGTCTAAAGGAATAATTTTAATATAATTTAATGATCATTTATTGATTTTATATTGTAAAATTAAGGTGAATATCAATATATAACATTGATTCTATAATTTCTCTAAATTTAATTTATGTTTAACTTTATTATTAAGTGTTAGAGGTCATGGGATCGAGTCCCATGGAGGGCATTTCATAATTTGGAGGTCTCCTACGGAAGCTGCTCTTAACCTAATATTGGGGGCAGCCTACTATCTTACCTCCCCTTACCCCATTACATATGGGAACAAGGGATAACCATTAAGTGTTGATGAAATAATTATGAAAAAAAAATAATGTTTAATCCATTATACTTATATTTTTTTATCAATTATTTATTAAGAAGTGAAACTCTTAAAATTTATATTATTCAAATAATAATATTTTTATTTATTTATTTATTAAAAATAAAAAATAAAATTAATAAAATATGAATATAACAATTAATATATATATAATATTTAATTATCAGGTCTGCACTGAAGAGAGAAAATAATTTAATTTTATAAAAAAAATAGTATAAATTTTAAATTATAAATTGAGAGAGAAAGGAGAAGCCAAAAGTAGACGTGAAAATTGAATTCTAAGGCATTGGATGATCCAAGCATCACACATTTTAGCCCTTGGCGCATTGGCCGTCCGAATATCTTTTATTCTTTCTATTATGTAATCTTATTATAATACGATATGATATAAAAATATTTTATATAAATATTTCGGGTACGGGCATTTTAATATTAAGTAATTAAGAGTTTTTATTTTTTAATTATTTTTTTAATTTTTCAAGATTTTGTCCTGACTTGTTAGGATCAGTTCGTATCACACACTTGACTTTGATTGACGAGTCTTATCGTAAGAATTTTCTGTATACATAAAGTCTCGAATTTGAGATTTATTTAAACGATATTAAATTTCTTATCAATTGAATTCTAAAATATCTTAACATATACTATCTCTTTCTCTCTCACACACACAAAAAAATTTGCAAACTAATAATTGGTTGGTCTAATGAGATGAGACATTAGATCCTTTAAGTAAGGTTAAGTGTTCGAATATTGATATTTGCGTAGGAAACAAATTGGATAGGAAGAATTATTCTCGCTTCTGCAGTATCAAATCTTGATTAGTATATTAATAGATCAGATACAAGTAGTTATAAAAAAAATCCTTGCAAAATAAATAAATTTATAATAAATGGATAATAATTTAAAAACATTAATGTAATGTGTACAGATTGACCAATTTGATTCGATATGCCAAATCCACCAAACCCCCATCTCTTTGCTTGAGAAAAAGATTGTTGTCTTAAACCACAAAATTAAAAAAAATACTTTCTGTTTTGGTTTTCTCTCACTGCATTTCCTCTCTTCGCAATTTCGGCTGTTCAGATTAGAAGAATCTTCTTATTGAGAAATGAAGAGATATAGGAATGGTGAAATCTGGGAATTCGAGCACGAAGTTGCGGTGGCCACCAACCGCCCGGTTATTTTAGGATTGGACGGTGGAACCACTTCCACTGTCTGCATTTGCATGCCAATTATGCCTTTCTCCGAACCCCTTCCCGACCCTCTTCCCGTTCTCGCTCGTGCCGTCGCCGGTTGCTCTAATCATAACAGCGTTGGCGGTAATTCCTTAATTTCTTCCCCTATCTCCCTCTTTTTAATGCTTATTTCTGAAGCTTAGGGTTTTAATGTTTATTTGTTTTTTTTTGTCTCAGAAATTTATAGATAATTAGCATTTTTTGAGGTTTCCAATTCATTAGTTTTAGACGGCATGAGAGTGTTATCAGCTGAGAATTTGGTTCTCCACCTTTGAAAGCCATAGAAGAGAAAGCTTTCATGGATTTCAAAGCAATTGGTAACATTTTGGATATTTAAGGCATTAAAGATTAACATTTTGTGAACAAACAAATGCAGGGTTGTGCTTTTCTGGAACACTTAAGTTTGATTATTTGAAACAGTGTAGCTGTTAATCCATTCTCAATGAAATGTGTTAGGAACTTCTAAAGAACTGAAGAAGAAAATAGCGAAAGGGAGGATTAGGCAGAGCATGAGTTGGGTTATGATATTTGATTGTATTTGCATGAATTATCTATGATATGGTGGACGAGATCAAAGAAACACTTCCTTATCTTTGGCCACAAAACAGACATACGGTTAGTTGATGCCAATGTTTTGGTTATCAATTCTTTTTTTTAATTACAGAAACTGCTGCCCGGGAAACATTAGAGCAAGTTATGGCTGATGCTCTTTCAAAATCTGGTTCTAATCGATCTGCTGTTCGAGCTGTTTGTTTAGCAGTATCTGGTGTTAACCATCCTACAGACCAGCAAAGAATATTAACTTGGCTTAGGTTTGTTCTCTATTTGCACATCATGCAGTTTGAATATAGCAGAAGATTTGAGACTGACAGTTTTTTTTGAAGCTCAACATAAATAAAATGATTCCAGAATTAACGTGAAAACTGTCATAACTAACTTGGAACATGTAAAACAGAACTGTCTTTATATTCTGGGGAAAGACAACATTCATTTAAATTGAAGTGGAGATTCTGATTAAAGTAATAATCCAAGAAAATCCAAGTGATCCATTTTTTATGTGCAATATCTTAGATGTTTGTTGAAAGGAAGATTCACGTTTAATGAGTTATGAATACTTTGGTTGAAAGTTTGGCAAATGCTTCATCTGTATGATGTTCACCCATAATATTCAAATTTTGATGTGATAATCATATAATCCTTTTGCTTCTCTTTTTATCTGATGTTTGTTCTACATATGAATTATGTAAGTAACACTTCACGGTTTGATGACTTGTTTAGAGACATATTCCCCAGCCAAGTAAAGCTCTATGTACGAAATGATGCTGTGGCAGCTTTGGCTAGCGGGACAATGGGTAAGCTCCATGGTTGTGTGCTAATTGCTGGTACTGGAACCATTGCCTATGGATTCACAGAAGATGGCAGAGAAGCTAGAGCAGCTGGTGCTGGGCCTGTCCTAGGTGATTGGGGAAGGTACATTATTGCGACTTCCTTTCAAAAGAATTTAGCCTTCCTTTTTATTGTTTAGTTTGCTGTACTATTCAATTCAAGACATTTGGGTTTCTACCATAGTAGACTGTTAGACTTATCTTCTATTTAGTTACTTTTTTTAAAGTCTTTTTAACGATGTTTGGTTGACAATGATATTAAGTGTTCAGATCTTTTTGGGAAATTAAATATGGAGATTAAAGTTTTGAGTCTAAAATTAATATATTTTGGCTGTATTCAGGAGTTGAATACAAAATTTCAAACAAGTTCAAGTGCAGTATTATATCATTAGATGGCTTACAATTTGGATTTGAATTGGAATTGATACATTAAATTTACTGAAATCGATATTATTCTAAATCTTTTAGCAAAGGGAAACTCTATCCTATCAAAAAAACTCTATCCTATCAAAAATATTCTGCTCTTTCATTTCCTATAAAGTCAAATTTGCCTTTACCAAAAACATTTCAATAATTGTTATTACAAAACAAATGTTTCTTTTATCAACATTGAACTAAAGGACAACACTTGGTTCTGTTTCATTTTTCTTATTTGTGAAACAATGTTATTGCAATTTTCTTTCAACACTTCTTTTAACAAAATGAACAATGATAAAGAGTAAAGACCAATTAGACGTTTTCTTGAGTTTTTCTTTATTGGAGGGGAAAATTGAGTTCAAGACAAACCTCTTTAGAAGTTTAGCCTTTAATGAAATCTAGTTGAAACTTTGTTCAATCCTTTGATGACTTAGGTAATAAGAAAGTGGCATATTATTGGTTATTTATTTATATTCACATAGTTTGAAGTGTTGTGCAATCATTTTTCCATGATTGAAGTAGAGTACCGTTAGTGATCAATGCGTCTGAGTCTACCAAAAGAAATACATCCTAAATGAACATGGAAGGATTATATTTTTAAGGTCTCAAATTAGTGCAATATTTATGATGAGCATGATTCATGTATTATTTGACATGTGCTGAAATGTAATGATCTATTGGTTCTTTGTTTTATGATATTGAGTTTTGAATTGCAGAATTTGTTAGTTGATGGTTCTTGCATTATCGGCTTTTGAATTACATAATTGTGATTGTTTTCTTTTTTATGCAAGCAACTAAGACATTTACTATCTTTTCTTTCAATTTGATTGTTGAATTTGTTTAGAATAATAAATTGAATTTGTTTGGGTTATTTGCAAAGACAAGGAAGTTCCCTAGAGATGAATCTTGAAATATACACTGTCTAGAACCCTTTTATGGTCTATAACTTTCATTTCTTCTATCCGTACCTTTATTTGGTTTGGCATAATGCTAGAAAATGCCCCTAACGTTTGACTAAATAGTCATTTTGGATCCTATTCTTTTTTTGGAACATTTTGGCTTGCAACGTTTCATTTTAGGACAAAAAGACCCTAACATTTGACTAAATAATCATTTTAGCCCCTATTCTTTTTTTTGGAGCATTTTGACCCCAATGTTTCATTCTATAGCAAAAAGGTCCCTATTCTGGAGCTTTGACCATTTGTTGACTAACAGTTTTCATCCATGGAGGGGCCTTTTTGCCCCAAAATGAAATGTTGGGAGCCAAAACACTCCAAAATGAAAAAGAATAGGTGCCAAAGTGACTATTTAGTCAAATGTTAGGGGCATTTTTTGGCATTATGCCATTTGATTTGATAGCATCTCTTTCTATGGGAGAGAAATTGTACCCAATGCAGCTATTGGTTCTTTGAGATGTAAATAAAATCAGAACTAAGTGTAGAAATGGAAAAAGAGGGGATGAATGAAACAAGTACCTACATTTGTAGAATGGTGCAAATAAGTGTATAAAGATTAGAAGAAGCAAAATTCTAGCTGTAATATGCAATTAAATTTTGAGAAAGAAAGATATGAAACCTGTTTAATAAAGCCTTTTTCAGTCTTCTTTCTTTCGGTAAATCCTAATTAAGTAGCTTTAAGAACTATCCGACACAAGTATGGAATGGTGCAAATAAGTGCATAAAGACTTGACAAAGCAAAATTGCTAGCCGAAATATGCAACTTAATTTGAGAAAATTAGATTTTACATGTGTTTTATAAAACCTCTTAGTCTTCTTTCTTTTAGTAACTGCTATAATCCAAAGTAGCTTTAAGGATTATTTGCTTCATTGTTAATAACATGTTCTTTTATTGCTCCTACTGATAATCCATTGATGGACATATGTTGCTAATTCTGTTTCTTCTTTTCTTTATTTGCCTTGTAGTATGACCTGTTACAAATGTACCTTTCTTTGTGTGCTCATTCCTTTACATGCAGTGGATATGGAATCGCTGCGCAGGCACTAACTGCTGTAATTAGAGCTCATGATGGTCGTGGTCCACATACGATGCTTACATCTACCATTTTGCAGACTCTTGTTCTTTCTTCTGCTGATGAACTAATTGGGTATTTATCTGATTGTTGTACATGGTTATTTATTTTTAGAAATTATGGTCCTTCATTGTTGTAAATGGTTATTTTTCTCATTGAAAATGACTACATAAGTTAGGCCTTATATAGGCAGATTTACAATAGGTATACAACTTTAACTTAGAGTCCTAATAGAAGTTAACTTAATGTAATTAATATTTTATCTAATCTCTTAATTAGATAAGCTGTGGAGTACAAATAAAAAGTGAAATAAAATTCTAGTAATTAAATTACAATCACACTCTAATTTATTTGGTTACAATCTACAGAATATATGGCCAATAATTGCCCCTGGGCATCTCTTTGCGATTTGTGATGAAAATTAAATGATATAATAAATCTGAAAACTGGTTCACAGGGAAGTTAAGAAATTGCGCTATTTTGTTGTGTCCTTCAACTTCTGCATTATACTTCATGGCCTTTCATTTGCGTGTCAATATGATCCTTTCATTAGTTAAAAATAAGAAATAAAAAAAAGACCACGAAAGCTAGTTGTGTTCTGCCTTATAGCAAATTTTTGACAGAAAAAATAAATGTAAATTGCACTTTAACAGTATGTAATCATTCTGTAGAATTTCTTTTTCATTTTTTTATATTTTCATCATATTCATTTTTTTCAATTTCTCTTTTCTTTCTCAAACACTTCTACTTAAATCTCTAAAACTCCTTCCAGCACTTATAGAACACATTTTTGTCATGATAAACTTATCGACTTTGTGGAAATGCTTGTTAATGGTATGGGTTTGTCTTTTTTGTTTGTACCATTGTTTTTTAGATCGCTTGCCACAAGTGTTATCATAATTGTTTTTCTTATTTGAGCCTTGCCTACTCGCAATTAGAATCTGATAAATGAAATGAAACTGCAAAAAAGACATTAATGATGAGTGCAATTTACGTTAATATTTTTCTTTAATTGGAAAATGATGGATGAAACGCAACTGCAAAAAGAGTAATGATTGAAGGTTGTGCCTGGCTCGATGGCCAAGTGTTTACTTGTTATCTGCTTGGTCACGGGTCAAACCTTGAAAACATCCTCTCTGTGCAACAGGGGAAGGTTGCAAATATCAGGACCTTCCCCGGACCTTATAGTGGGAGACTTGTGCATTTGGTACAGCATTTTTTTTTCTTTCCCCACAGTTGCTTATGGGACCATTTTGGTCAACTTTCTAATGGCTAATGATAGAAAGATGATATTATTACTATTATAGATCATTGGGTGCTACATTTCTCGTAAAACATCATGGGTGAATTAGAACTAATCTTAAAAGGTCATAGATGGATTCGGTTATCCTATTTAATTCTTGTATAAGGACCTCTTTACCCTCTCATCGCTCAATTGTCTAGTGGGAAACTTATTTTCTCTTCTCTGAAAAAGTAGAGTATGTGGGTTTGATTGATATAATTAAGTTCATGGATTTGTTATTTTTTTTTGATAGAATAGGGAGACCTCATTAAAACCCCCTTCATACTCAACGAAATATGAAAGTTTCGTCGAGCATTGGAAGGAGGAAAAGAGTGTCTCATAATTTTATTGAACCATCGAAAAATACAACTTAGATAACATCAGAACCTAACTTCCACTAGAAACCAAACAATACAAAACCTCCCAAATCTAACACGTAAGGCCTACACACATCCCCTCTCAACCAATGCCCTCCTTAGCCAACTTATCCGCCTCCCAATTAGCCCCTCTGGAAATATGCCTGATCATCACATCTTTATCCCTAAAAATATCTAAGATTTCATTCATGGATTTGTTATCAATAAATGTTGAATTTCATTTGATATCTTGCTATCGTTTTAGGTGGACCTATGCAGATCCATCCTGGGCTCGCATTGCTGCACTTGTTCCAGTTGTTGTCTCTTGTGCAGAGGCTGGTGATGATGTTGCAAATAAGATTTTGAAAGAGGCAGTTCAAGAGTTGGCTTCAAGTGTGAAAGCTGTTGTTCAGAGACTTGGACTGTGTGGTGCAGGTATATCTAGCTAAATCTACAATAGAGGGGAGTTTTTTTTTTTTGGTTGAATTACTTGTATATTTAGAAGCAAAGCATTCTTTGTAGTGTTAAATAGTAAAGTAAATATTAAATTTAGCACAGATATTTCAATCTAGCAGAAAATATGAATATATTTAGAACATATGATTATTTGCTATACCTTTCAGATATAATAGAATTAGATTTGACTTTGTAGGCCTCAATGAGATATCATGCAGTTATTACGGAACACATAATGGAAGGTCTATTCCATCTCCTCGAGAAAAAATGATTGGTCTTTGAATAAATTATTGCTTATAAGGGCCATTGCCCAGTGCTCATCTTGTGCTTGCAAACTCTCAACTGCAGCTTGAAGTTATAGCCTTGTAATCACCACGGATTTTTTTATCACAATCTCTTACAATATCATTCTACACGCTAAGCATCTTCTTAAATTTCATGGGCCATTTACATAGATTTTGAATCTTGATCTACTTGCCTCACTTCATATGATTCCAAGTATAACTATAGAAAGTAGTTTTTTGTTGCTTTTTGTTTAATCCCTTTATTTCTTTGCCATAACTTGTTTTTCTTGTTTGAATAAACATTACGCAAATATGTGGTCCATTCTTATGGTCACTACTTGCTAGTCCTGCGATCATCAGAGCTAATAAGTTGTTGCAAACCGCCAATTGTGGACTTTTCAAGCAATAATGTAGAACTTGGAAATCTGTCCCTTGATAGCTCTGCCACTGATTGATTAGATTATGACAGCTGAATTTCTGTATTTCTATGCATCAATCTTTGCAGATGGAAAAAGTTACTTTCCTCTTGTTATGGTTGGCGGAGTTCTTGAAGCAAACCAGAGGTGGGACATAGGAAAAGAAGTCATGAACTTTATCTCCAAAGACTACCCCGGGGCCCTTGCAATTAGACCTAAGGTAAGAACAATTTAATAGTCTAAGTGCTCAGTACAAATGCCTTCCACCTTTTTTATATTTGAATCGCTGCCAGTTTTTTTTTTGGTCGCTTCAATGACAAAAATAATCACTTGTTCTTGCTACTAAGCCAAGTAGAAATCAAAAGGAGATGCGAAGTGCAAAAACTGATGTTTAGTAATAAATTGGAGTTAGATCGAAACTCCAAAACTTACAAGAAGATGAGATGAATGAATGGAAAATGCTCCTGCCCAAGTGGGTCTATTGGCTGGCCTACACCATCATACTACTACTTATTTTGATAACTAATCGTCACGGCAAGTAGAGTCTTATTTGTTATGCCTTGACATGGTTTTGGGATGGGGTAGCTTTAAGCTGGTCTGCTGCCTGTATATAACTTTTCACCCTACACTGATCGATTATACCCTGCCAATCTTCTGCTTGAAGTAAATATACCCGACACCCATGCCTAATACATAATTGGACAAGAGTATGGGGATGACTCTTCAAAGAGTCCAAGGACCCCACCAAATACATTGAACATCCCTGTGCGATACGTACCCATATTCTACATTCACTCCCGAGTTCGAGTAACATAGGCCTATCGTCTAGACGTGTGCCACTTAGTATCATAGATGAGAGACTTGCAGATGGTAGTTCTTTAGTGCAGGGATGTGTAGGATGGAAGTCTTCGTTGCAAATTCTAAATACGGTGTTTTGCATAAATAATAGCTTACTTTTAAGCTTGTCTTGTATGCATTTCAGGTGGAGCCGGCAGTTGGTGCGGCATTGCTAGCGTTGAATGAGTTCATGAAAGAATGTGTTCAGGAAGCATTCAGAAGATGATCATTCAGATTTCAATTGTACAGCAACAAGGATAAACTAAGAGGGGAACACATACCGAAATGAAAAACTGTGTTCAAGGGAATTAAGCAAATTTCTTTTTTCGGGTTAGTATTTTTATTAGGTATTGTACGAGTCCGCTGGCATACAGTAGATTTCGTTGTTTGAATATTTCTGATAGTTACTGTGTATAACAGCTGCTGCTATTCCATGTCAAAGGTGTACAACTGTATGAATAGAGAATTGTAAACGAGCAGTGGATCCATACACTGCAATGGCTAAGATGAAGCCAGTGATTTGTTTTCAGGGGAATTTTATAGTTATTACTACGAAATTATGTTGGGAAGGTAATATCAAGGTGCCAATGCCATTGCTGGATGCCTTGGCAGTAGGGATGGGATGGGATGTGTTGGTTCGGGTCGGATTTACTATCAACCCGACCCGAAAAGTATACTCCATCCGTCCGACCCGACCTGAAAAATATATATCCGAATCGAACCCGATTTGACTTTTTGAGATAAAATCTGAATTAAACCCTACTTGAAATAATATATTTATTAAAAAATATTATTTTTATTCAATAAAAATAGAGCTTTGATTGAAAAAAATAATATATGGAGGGTATTATTGCAATTATCCCTAAATATAAGGTAAAATTAAATGTTTTTTTGAGTCGGGATAGGTATTTTAAATAACAAACTTGATCCGAACACAACCTCTAAAAAAAACTAATCCGAGATCAATTTTTTTAATACATTTTGATCCAATCGGATTAGGTTAGAATCCGTTGAATTCGGATCTTATGCCTATCTCTACTTAGCTGGGAAAGGCAACGTCAGTTGACAATTTTTGATTTTATGTTAATGGTAAACATATAAAATTTTAAGAGAAAAAATAGATTATCAATATAAAATAAATTTAAATTATACAAGAATTTGAAAAGTTTGTGGATTTTTTTGCTGGTTTAATATTTTGTTTTTCACGAAGCTCATTTGTTTTTCAATTCACAAATTGTGAATGGCCCCACCTACTCGGACCATCAAGTAGTGTTCATATTTGGGTCCGAGTCCGACCCGTTGCTTTTCAATTAGCGTCTAAAGTAGGGGTAATTAACGAGTTGAGCAGCTCAAATTAGGGGGTGCGAAAAAAATTCGATCTGTTGATCCGATCCGAAAATTCGGATATCCGATCATTTTTTCAATTTTCAGATAGTTCAGATTGGGTATCCGAAATTTTTTTCGGATTTTCGGATTGGATACGGATCGATCAAAATTCAATTTCGGATTATCCGAAAACTCGAAAAAATTTGGGCTATATTATTAGCCCAGAGTTTGGGCTATATTAGACATTAGTATACTGTAATTTCTCTGTTGTTTCAAACCCTCATTTCATTTCTCTGTTGTGGGCTGTAATTTTTTTTCTATGAATCCATAGGATCTTTGGTTTTTTTGCAATCTTATTTGGTGATCCAAGTAAAATAATGACTAATTTTTTAATGCTTACTGAAACTGATCTCTTTTTGTTAATGCAGAAGATTGTGCTGAAGCTGGATTTGCATGACGACAAAGCCAAGCACAAGGCTTTCAAAACAGTCTCAACTCTTTCAGGTACATACATGGTCTTTATTATTATGCATTTACTTGTAGTAAAACACAGAAAATTATGGGACTTGTTAATTGGGTTGTTATTTGTTAAAAAAACCCTCTTCTGTCAATGACTTGGGGATCTTGATGACAACAAATTCTTCAACTCGTCAGTGATTGATTCTTAATTCATGTGATTTCTACATGTTATGTTGTTCTTTTGACCTGGCCATGCTGATTAGCATGTTTTCTCATTGCCTTGCCTGATAGGAATTGACTCCATTGCCATGGATATGAAAGCGAAGCAATTGACGGTGATCGGAACGGTTGATGCTGTGAACGTGGTGAGCAAATTACGCATGAACTGGTCGACCAGTGTAGTGGCGGTCGAGCCAGCGAAGGTGCCGGAGAAGAAGGGAGAGCCAAAGAAGGAAGAGCCAAAGAAAGAAGAGGAACCCAAGAAGTAAGAATCGAAAAATCATAAGAGTTAAACTGGAAATCATAAGAGCTATTAAGTGTTTCTTATTTGATTAATGCTTTTATTATGTTGATTTTTTTGCAAAAGAAAAATGGGATTCGGATCCGGATATTCGGATATCCAATTTTTTCGGATCAGATACAGATCATTACTTTAGGTATCTGAAATTTTCAGATATCCGAAAATTCGGATCGGATAATATCCGATAATGCACACCCCTAGCTCAAACTCGACTCAGTCAAAATTTGGTAAATGCTCAACTCGAGTTGGCTCAACTCGAGCTTGAACTCGACTCGAGACCTTAACAAGCTGAGCAGAGCAAAGTCTAACTTGACTCGATAAGTTCGCGAGCAGTTGGTTAATTTTTTAAAATATATTTTTAGTAATTACTTCAAAATTATTTCATTCAAAAATAAATCTAAATAATAATTATTAATTTATTAATAAATAATAAAAAAATAATAAGTTAACTAATCTATTATTTTTAATAAATAATAAAATATTAATTAATTAATAATATTATTTTAATACAAAAAACCAAACCCTAATATCCTCGTATTGTATTAGTAAATTTTTTTAGTTAAAAAATAAGGTAAATTTTTAGTGAGCTTAACGAACAATAAGTTGAGTTTAACGAGCAACGAGTTGAGCAGTAAATTTTTTAACGAGCACGAGTCGAGCACAATTTTAACGAGCTTAACGAGCAACGAGATGGGTCGAGCAGAAGTTTTTTTAACGATCACGAGTCGAGTACTGCCCAACTCGCGATCGACTCGTTCGATAAGCACCCATAGTCTAGAGGTGAGTGTTAGATCGAGTTGAGTAAAACAATTTCGAATAAATTGAGTTTATGAGTTTATTTTATAATTCAAATTTTATTTGAATTTTTTTCGATTCGAGTCGAATTTATAAAATTCAAGTTGAGTATATAAAATATGAGTCGAGTTGAGTTGTTGGAGTTTCTATTTAAATTTAATTGAGAATATTTACAATATTATGATATTATTTGATTATAATTTAAACGTTTTTTATAATCATATGCAATATATATATATATATTGCCTCACATTTTTTCATGTGATATACATTTATTATACAAAAATAAGGGATTTGACTCAAATTTAAAAACTAACCCTCTAATTACTAAAAATTCAAGTTATTTGAGTTAATATTCGAGTTCCATTTTATAACTCGATTTGAATTTGAATTTTTTTAATTGAGTTTATAAAATTACAAATCAATTTGAGTCGAATTTTTTCAAGTCAAGTTGAAATAAAAAAGATTGATTTTTCTAACCGAGTCAAGTTTTATTAATTCCTGTTAGAAACCGAGGAGGCTGACTGGGCCATATGTTATTTTCCTTGTTAGTTTGGTATATATTAGGCCATATGTTTTGTGCCCAGAAAAACATAAAACTCAACTGAAGGCCCAAGATTTTTTTAACAAAAAGTAAAGGGCATAATCAAGAGGGGTTGATTTAAATGGTAAACATCTTGATATCGCTTAAACAATGTCTCGAGTTCGAGTTCTTGTATATGTAGAAATTCCCTGCTGAGAGACTTACCCACCAAAGTTAGTTATGCGACGCGGATCAATTCGGATTAGTCAAAGCAAACCCTTAGAATCGAGATGGCAAAAAAAAAAGAATAGATGTTTACGATATTATGCATTGTGATTTAAACTTAATCTGCTGTAAATTTTTTTTAAATTTATTCATCTATATCATATATAAAATGAGTGATTGAGTTAGTATTACGAATTAATTTGATACTAATTCATATAAAATTATTAAAATACTCTAATTTTAAGAGATAATTAATATTAGGCTGAAATGTGACAAAAGTCCTCAAAATTTTTAAAACAATTATTAATTTTTTTCTGTTCAAAATTGGTAAAAAAACGTTAGGCACCTAAATTTTTAAAAAATAACAAAGAGTGTCTCATTCTGAATGATTAACGGAATTTTTTTTAACTTATGTTATGGGCTAGGCACCCAAATGATAACATTGGAAACGTTAGGCGCCTAGATTGACAAAAAAAAAGTTTAAGCACCTAAATAAGAAAAGAAATATAGTTTGGACAATTATTTTTATATTAAGCTAATTTGAATTATGAGGAATCTATTAGGTTTTTTTTATCGAAATTCATGGTAAACAATTAAAAATATTATCAAAATCTTTTTTTGCAACTTTTTCTGTCACTTCCCAAGAACCAAACGAAAAGTTCGGTCCGTTTGATTTTACAAATTATAGACTATTTTCATTTTTATTTTGTTGAAGAAAACATATTTGGTTGTAAAACTGAAAAATGATTTCTGGAAAATGAAAGCAAAAATAATTGAAAATATGAAAACTTTAAAAAATATGTTTTCAACATTTTCATTAAAATTGTTTTGAAAATTTGAAAAATAAGGAAACATATGATCTAGATTTTTAACTTAACATATACATGTTTAAATTATTCTAACAATTTTTTTGATTTAATGGTTTTTGAAACCTTCAAAATTTTGCAAAAAAATCAATATGGTCCCTGAACTTTTTTTACACTCAATATAATCCTTAAATTGATTTTTTTTAATTTTTATATATTTAATGTATTGAATATATTAATAATTCTTTATATTTTATATTTTTAATTTAAATATTTATTTAAATATTTTTTAAAATTAAATAAGTCCTCAAACTTTCTAAAAAAATCAATTACGCCATCAAACTTAGCCGAAAAATAAATTAATCCCATCTACCACATCATCTTCTATCGTGTACTATCACCACAACAATATTGTATACTGTCACATCAATACTATAGATTATCATGTAAGTTTATGAACTGTCATGTAACCGTTGTGATAATCAACGTTTGATTTGTTCTTCACAAGGTTAGAGATTATTTTTTATGTGCAAAAAATGTCCTAGGGTTACACTAATTATTTTTTCCCAAAAGTTTGAGGGCCTCAATTACCATTAAACATATTTTTATTTCAATGACACTTTTGTGTGCTCTTGCATATAACAATATTTTTGTGTATTTTTAAAATTTAATTGATGTCCAATATACAATAATATTATATTTTTATTATAAATTAAAATATTTTTTATGTTATGAAATTTCTTTATTGTTTTATATTTGCATAACTCACATGTTAAATTAATGTAATGAATTTTTTTACTAATAATTATAGTTTAATTAAATTTTTTAATAACTATTTATTCATCTCTATTTTTAAATATTAGATACCAAATGCATTTTTACTATACCAAATACATTTTTACTATTTTATTTATGGATTTAAGTTTTCATCTATACTAACCAAACATGTTTTCTAATTTTCAAAAAACTGAAAATGAAAACTATTTCCTGAAAACAAAAACAGAAAATAAAAATATAAAACAGTTTCTAAAACCAAACATACCTTATTTTTCTTCGAACAAAAATGTCGTTAAGACATAGATTATACATGAACGATCCTAAATGGTATTCATGTGTGGAGCCCTTAAATTTTGCGATCCTATGATGCCTCACATGCCACACTTTATATGGATTGTCATGCTACCAATACCAGCAACCACTATGAGATTATCACATGAACTGAGAAATTTAGGTAATGGAGTGGTATCATCTATGGGGTCTCTTCAATACCAAAGGAAAATCTTCTCCATTTTTGGAAAGAAAGAAAAAAACATGGCTTGCTAAAGACCAACCAGCCACCGTATCAATAACAAAATTATAAATAGCCATTAACAAAAGAGATATTGTAATACCCTAAATAGTAGGTCGGCGACTATTTTAAAAGGATTTAATTTTTGGAGGACTAAATTGAATAAATGGTAAAGTATAAGAAATGATTCAAGTAAGACCAAATAGTAAGAATGGAAAAATGAAAGAGCATTTTGGTCCTTTAGAGGGAAATGAATTAAAATTCATTTCTATTATGGATTAAGAAAAGAGAAAAAGGGGAAAGTGGAAATCAAACTAAGCCATCCACACTTCTTCTTCTTCCCGTCTTCACGTGTTCTCCTCCATAGCCAAAGGTAAGCTTCATCTAACTAGTTTTTCCTTTCGTTTTTGGTTTGTTCTTGAAACCTTGAGTGTTATAGAGGCTTAAGGAAGAGTTAAAGAGAATTAAAACTAAGAGATGAATGTTTTATTTGTGATTGAAGAAAATGAGTTTTTGAATGATATGTTGGAATATGAGTTTTTATTGAGGTTTATTAGTATATTTGAATTGTCAAGGAAGTAAGTAAGAGATTATAAGCATTGGATGTGATTAAAAACATGTTAGAAAAAGTGGTATGATTCTTGGTTGGAGATGTTCTTTGGAGATTTTATATGCTATAAGAAGCTAAATGAAGGAAACTTAGTTGAGATAAGTAAAGAAGAGTTTAATAGTATTGTTGGAGGTAAAAGTAAGGGAATTTGACCAAATTTGGGTAAAAATCGAGCTGAAAAATGGAAAATATGGGTAAGAGTATCAGTACTGATAGAACAATACCAATACTATAGGTTTAAATTTGTAAAAATACGATGAACAGTATCGGTACTGATGCAATTAGTATCGATACTAAAAGAAAGGTATCGATACCATGGATTCCAGAATGCATAAATGGTACCGATATTAAAAGGGAGTATCAATACCATAGTATAGAAGTATCGATATCAGGGTAGGGGTACTGATACTATAGAGCCTGAAATTGTAAGATAGGCTGAAATTGTAATAGAAATTGAAAATAATAGTACTTTTGACTATTATTAAAGTATAAATGTTAGAGGGTATACTAACATTTGTATGGTATGTGTACTAAATGGATGCTTGTGTAGATCATAACTAAGCTCCTGAGTCAAGCAAGAAAAAGGGCAAGGACAAAGTTGCCAAGTAATTAAACATCACTACACTATACTAGGGAGGCATATCAGGTGAGTGCATCTATTGTAATTATATGGGATGAGGGAGACTTACCATGAGTCAACCTCTAATGTTTTAATTTAATG